TCTACTGTTTACTATCTATAGGATTTGGAGCAAAGTGCTTCATCTCTGTGTAACTCAGTCTCCTTAGCTGTAGGAAGGAAATAATAATAGAATCTACTTCCTAGGGGTGCCTGGGTGGCTCAGTGGGTTAAAACTTCTGCCTTTGGCTTAGGTCATGATCCAGGGTCCTGGGATCGAGCCCCACATCCGACTCTCTGCTCTGCAGGGAGCCTGCTTCCTCCTCTCTCTCTCTCTGCCTGTCTCTCTGCCTACTTGTGATCTGTCAAAAAAAAAAAATCTACTCCATAGGATCGATAGGAATATTAAATGAATCACCATATGCAAATGTTTAGAATAGTGCCTGATACAAAGTAAGTTCTAAGTAAGTGAGTGATGGAGTCCTTTTTATTTGACAATGTGCTGAGATAGACCTGAGGACTGATTCTATTTAGGTTGTATTGGATGTAAAGATCACTAGTTATTCAGCTATGTGCATTTGTTGCTGTTTAAAAAGTATGGAGACCCTGAAATGGTTTTTTAGGATTTATTTATTTATTTATTTGAAAGAGAGAGAGAGCAAGCAGGAGAGGGACAGAGGGAGAGAATCTTAAGCAGACTTTATGCAGAGCAAGGAGCCTGACATGGAGCCTGATCTTACAACCCTGAGATCATTACCTGAGCAGAAACCCAAGAGTCAGATGCTTAACCCACTGAGCCACCGAGGCACCTCGAGACCCTGAAAATTTTAAGCAACCAATATTTTACTGATTTCAAACAGTAGTTCCTGTCAGTCACTGGAGTCTGATGTGTGCATATGCATGTATGCTTGTGTGTGCACATATATGTATATATGCATTGGAAATAGGGTATGGTCTATGAGTTATGTCTATATAAAGAAGCAGAGAAACAGGATATGCAATATTTTGCAGACTTGAGGGATCCATTTTCCTATCCTGTAGACATTCTCCTGCCACCACAGGAATTCCCCTAGTGCTACACCTTCCTCAGATGACAATGCCAGCCCTGTCTACTCATCTTTCATTATCAGGGAGTCTCTGTTCCTCAGTGAATTTCCTTTCCATTCATCTTCAAATTACTTTTCTGGGCATTGTTGAATATGCTCAAGATAGAGTCAGAGGTACTTGTATGGATAAATTTGCATAAGTATAAATATAGTATATGTACCCATATTTAAGTGATATAATGATAATATTGTGTTGCCATCTCAGAATGAAAGCTAATTAATTCAGCTAGCTATTGAGATGATAATGATTTCTTTCTCAGTTAATACCAAAGTTCAAGAAAAAAAAACAAACCTGCAGAATTGTCCTAGCACTGTTCCTTTGATTCATCTTGGAATAAGGAGGTTTATTTCTATTAACTATTGTGCTATCGGTATCTACAATGTTTTTTTTTTTAACATTTTATTTATTTACTTGACATATTTGACATATCACAAGTAGGCAGAGAGGTAGGCAGAAAGAGAGGGGGAAGCAGGCTCCCCACCTAGCAGGGAGCCTGACGTGGGGCTTGATCCCAGGACCCTGGGATCATGACCTGAGCCGAAGACAGAGGCTCTAACCCACTGAGCCACCCAGGCGCCCCTGTTTTTTTTTGTGGGTTTTTTTGTTTTGTGTTGTGTTGTGTTTTTTGTTTTTTAAGATTTTACTTGTTTATTTGACAGAGAGAGACACAGCGAGAGAGGGAACACAAGCAGGGGGAGTGGGAGAGGGAGAAGCAGGCTTCCCGCTGAGCAGGGAGCCTGATGTGGGGCTCAAATCGAGGACCCTAGGATCATGATCTGAGCCAAAGGCAGATGCTCAAGGAATGAGCCTCCCAGGCACCACCCCCCATGATGGTTTTAAATGGAATCATTCTTGGGAGGGGCTAAATATTCATGTAAAGATTGACTCAGTTTGACTAAGGAACATCATTGAGCTCACTGATTTGGTACAAGGAAGAAAACTAACTTCCTAACTTCTTAACTTCCTTCCCTCCTTCCTTCCTTCCTTCCTTCCTTCCTTCCTTCCTTCCCTCCTTTCCTCCTTCTCTCTCTCCCTCCCTCACTCCCTTCCTTTCTTTTTCTTTCTTCCCTCCTTCCTATTCCTTCCTTCCTTCTTTCCTTTTCTTGCCTAGAGGCTCTTTTAAAATGCATGCTTTGGTATTTGCACTTCCTGTATCAATGTTGATCTGAAGCACAAAGTCTTTTTTTAGACTTTGTGTGGTTGGATTTGACATTTAGGAAAATGGTAAGATCTTTCCTACTGAAAGTTATACCAGCTGACAGATTCACAAGCAAGTCTATGATTTTTTTAAACCTTGCTATCTAACTTTTTCTTCAGGCTCTGTTTTTATGTTGAGTTAGTTAACAAGTCCTGAGTTCCCCTGTTTCTTCTTCCCTGTTCTCACCATCTAGTTCAGGCACCAATCACCTCTCAGCTGTTTTACATTTTTCACCTTGCACCAAGGATCCTTCCCAAGATGCAGGTTACCCTCTTCTGCCAAAACCCTCTAATGGCTTCTCTCTTTCTACATGGTAAAAAGTCAGCAGTTTTGCCTTGTGTTGAAGGGCATTTAACCATATTCTGTCCCACTACATGCTCTTAGCCCCCTTCCACTAATTCTCCCTATACCTTCCCACCAAAATAGATCATCTACCCCTCCTTGGTATTTCCATAACTTTCTCATTTCCCAGAATGCCCTTCCTCCCTCACAGTCCATGTTTCAAAACCCTACTTATTTCCTAAGGCCCGCCTAAATTCTACTTCTTTAATGAAGTGCTCTCTGATTTCCCCTCAAAATTAATCAGGGCCGTGCCTAGTCATATAATGCCTTTTCCTCAAGACACTCAATTTCTAGCTATTGGGACATTGTCATATTATACTTATTTTTACCAGAACAATTTTTATTGCCTTCTGCTGGAAAAAAATTGCCATAACTAATGTGCAAATCTCCATGTCTGTGATGAAATTCCTGCCTGAGTTTGAATCCATCTAATTCCTTTATTAACCATGTGATCATGGCCAAGATGCTTAATCTCTCTGCCTCTCTTCCACTTCTATAATATGGGAATATATAATATTATCTTCATCATAAAATTGTTATGAAGGTTAAATAACTCAGTGCAGGTGAAGTGGTTAGAACAACAGCCAGTGAGTGCTTGATAAATGTTACCTATTATTCCAACAGGCTGTTAAAATAAGAAGGACTCTTGCTGTCTCAGTTTCAGCATTCTTGAAGATTAGTTGCTATATCCAAAGTGAGCCCATCTTGCAGTGGGTAGTTAAGAAATAGTTAAAACCTCACCTATTTTGAGGGTATGAAGTGGTCAGGAGTTGGAAATTCTAGAGTAGTCTTTAAAGATTTTGGAGCATTTGACTAGTGCCCCATAAATCCCATATCCCCAGTACAGAAGGGGAAGGGTGTGGGGTGCAGGTATCTGTCTTGGGGACCACCACAGAAAGTATGGTACTTTGTGAGGATTAGGAAAATGTGTCCCCTCTTCCCCAGTTGAAATCTATACACTAAGGAGGCCCTGCTGCCCCGTACCCAGTGAAAGGGTCTCCATCAGGATCGCTTGAGGAGATTGATAAATATCCCCTACAGCTGAGAAACACAGGAGACTGTGAGAAGCTGAAAGGGCCAGAGGTATGGCGACTGCTTATGAATAAGTGGGAGAGATCCCCCCTCCCCCAGTTTGCTGCACCAGAGAAAGCTGGCACAGGGTTATCTTGAACTCATGACAAGAAGGCCACATGGAGGGACTTCAGAGTAAAGAGGATGGTGGTAAATTGCTAAATTCCTAGATGCAGAAGAAGGGGATACAAGTCATGGGCTAGAAGAGAGATGTATTTGCCCCATTGAGGAATTGCAAAGGAACATGTCCCAATGGTGGGCATTCTCTAAAGAACCCAACCCAAGAGAGAAGGAGTCAATTTCAGAAACTTGCTGGGCACAAGCCAACTTCTAGCAGTACAGGCAACAGAGCACTTTCCTATTACTTCTTCCCCTTGCCTCCCACAATCCTTTCCTTATTCACCACTTCACCTTGACTCTGGAAGTGTCAGAAATTACCGTTAGCCAGGTGGAGGAGAAAGAGTAGAAGTGGCAAGCGGGGAAAAAGAGAAAGGCCTTCCTACCTGTAGCTTAACTGTGGTAGGCTGCCGCTACGGCCATACAAATATTTGCTTTTAAAGCAAGGTTGGCATCTGTATTATTACACTAGGCTGGGCATCTTAAATACTGAATGGAAGCCTTCAATGTGACCTCTCCCAGGATGCTTGGTAAATAGCAACTTGTTTTGCAAGGCTTAGCTCAACACTTACTTCCGTGTCTGATCTCTTCACCCAAACTGACCATTCTCCTTGCTTCCTCAGCCCAGCACCCCCACCCCCAGCCCAGGAATACTTAATTTCACTTGTTTGGTTGTTTGCATGGGTTTGCCCTCAACCAGGCTATAAACTCTAAGAGGGCAGGGATGACTTATTCACTTTTGTACCACCAGCACCTTGAGCTCACTGGCACACAGTTGTCTCCCAATAAAGATATAAGGAAAGTAACCTACCTTTAAAAACAAATTAAGGGGCACCTGGGTGGTGCAGTGGGTTAAATGGTAGACTCTTGGCTTCAGCTCAGGTCATGATCTCAGGGTCCTGAGCTGAGCCCTGTGTCAGGAAGTCTGCTTGAGATTCTCTCTCTCCTTCTCCCTCTGACCCTCCCACTTCTCTCTCTCTCTCTCAAACAAATAAATAAATCTCTAACTATCCTCACAAATTAAGATTTTCTTAAGAGAGGCTATGATTCAAACATGTCTTTCTCTTTGAGACAGAAGTTAACAAATAGTCGTCTTCTGGACGATGAGGTGAGGTTGAAGGTACCTTTGTCACCTGTACTCTCAAGGATGGCCTGGGTACTCTCCAGGGGTTCTTGAGAAAATGCTCTGTCATCCCTTAATCCTAAGGTGTTTTTCTGAATAGGAGTTGTTATGAGTCCTTTTACTCCTTTCTATGTTTCCTCCACAGGTTTCTTTAGGAGAAGCATTACCAAAAATGCCGTGTACAAGTGTAAAAATGGGGGCAACTGTGTGATGGACATGTACATGCGAAGAAAATGCCAAGAATGTCGCCTAAGGAAATGCAAAGAGATGGGAATGTTGGCTGAATGTATGTATACAGGTATTCACATCAAGCAATTAAATTCCACTTAAAATCTCTTAAGGAGGCAGATGCAGGTAACTCGTCTGATTAGAATGGTACTTCACATACTAAAGAAGGGATGAACTAAACCGTGGAAGTTCTGGAAAAGGGTAAGGAACCCCTGAAATTGGCCAAAGTGTTAGTGAAAAAGGATTTTATTCCCCTGAAAGAAGCAGCTTTTTGCTGTTCGTTGCTGCAAGGAATCATATATGGAGTAAAATGGCATTAATCTGCAGTGAAAATAGCATGTTGTAAGAAGCTACCAGGAATAAAAACAGCCTGAAAATTTTCTCCAAATGTGATTTAATATCTTTCTTATTGTTTAATTAGCATAAAAATTCACAGTTGTGGGAAAGATTAAGAATGTTTTATAAGGTATAACTGCCTCTGAATTGTCTAAATAGAGTTTTAAACCAAGTCATTTTATTAGAAGTCCTTCTTCTCTTAGTGCAGCTTTGAACCAATTTGTATAGGTTTACACAGGAAATTAACTACTGTGGGTTTTAATATAATTTGGTCCTTTGATCTGATAAAGAGACACTGTATTAACTGCTGGTTTTGTGAGGAACCATAATCTTCATCAATTTGGAATGCATGCTAGTATATAACATATTAATTTTTCATTCTGCAAATTCTACAGACCACTCAGATTTTGAGATATGGCCTATTCCTCCTCAAAACACAAATGACAAACAAATGTCACCAAGGGGATAATAACATTCAGGGAGGGAATGCCACATGGAATAAAAGCCTTTGGAAGGTGACTCCAATTCTATTGTTTCCACACTGTACAGGCGACTGGGATGGACCCAGAGAAATAATGTGTGAAAGAGGGGGAAAAATAGGTCAGTGTAAATAATCCAGCTCTGGGTAGATGAAAGTTTTATAGTGGATGATCACTATCTCCTCTTAGCATACGAAACAAGAGACTGCAGTAGGGACGTCTGCTGGAATCCAATCTTGCAATGGAAATGCTTACTTTGATACTGGGGGGTTCATGTTGCTCATCACTTAAATATGAACTCGTTCCAATGGGAGCACTGAGGACATTTTTTGTGATTACGCCTACCAGAGTCTATACTATTATTAATGCAAACTTGCCCAATAACAGATGCAGAGTTTTCATGTGATCTTACAAAATAAATTCCTGGACAAAGAGGTTCCCAGAACTTAGTTTCATTAACATTGAGAGGATAAGGACGTTAAATGGGAATATGGAAGATTGTTCTGCATTATTTTTTATAGCTCTGTTTTAGTATAAATGAATGATGATGTTATAAGATTCTTCAAAAGGAAATTTCAAAGTCCCTTTGAGTTATTTTCATCTCTATGTTCTCAATAATGTACACAGTTCTGAAAAATGACGAGATTTAAAATTTTCCCTAAAGGATGTTGACATTTGTTTTGCTCAGCATGTGTTTACTTATGTGTGCTTAATGTGACATGGGATATACTTTTTAAGATACAGTTACATAAACATGGATGAGAAATAATATTAACATTATGTTATGAAACACTAGCTCTCAGGGTCCCCTAGACCAAGAATGGGGACAGTGTCTTTCACTTTTTTATTGACTGAGTACCATGCATTTGTACAATGCTTTTGTGTTACAAAGTCTTTAATAAAACACAACTTTTTATAAAAGACCCAATTATGCTTAATCTATACAAAACTCTTTGAGGTAGATATTTTTCCTATTTTATCAATGAAGAAACTGAGATTCACAGGGGGATAAATTTCTTGTTCAAGGCCAAGTCTCAAAATTCAGAAGGATTAGAATTAGTGCTGTGCCAAATTGCAGAGATGTGAGCCGACTACATATCAGCTGCCTCATGACCACAGGCCCAATAGGACTCTGGGGTGAAATCTCTGTGTTTTATTTTTTCAGGCTTGTTAACGGAAATTCAGTGTAAATCTAAACGACTAAGGAAAAACGTGAAGCAGCATGCAGATCAGACCATTAATGAAGACAGTGAAGGTCGGGATTTGCGACAAGTGACCTCGACAACCAAGTCATGCAGGGTAATAACATGCGATGGTGTCCGCTGAAGCCCACAGCAGCTGAGCTTCTAGGCCTGTAGTGACCTGGCTGAGAGGCTTTAAAATTAGAGCCACCGTAAGCAGAATTTCATTCCAGTTGTGCATTAAATGGGTTTCTTCTTTTTAGTGGAGAAAGTAAAATCTGCTTTGGTGTAGAAATTCAAATACTAGCAGTAAATAAAGCAAAATGAATGCTCTCTGTCCCCCTGGCTCCATTCCACGCCTACTACCAAGAGGTTCCCAGTAGAAGTGGTTCAGTGTAGAAATGGATTTTTCAGGTTGAGGGTTTTGTTTGTTTTTTAAGATTTTATGTATTTGATAGAGAGAGCCTGTGTGCACAAGCAGGAGGAGCAGCAGACAGAGGGAGAAGGAGAAGCAGGTTCTCAGGGAGCCTGATGTGGGATATGGGCCTGGATCCCAGGACCCTGGGATCATGATCTGAGCCAAAGGCAGACACTTAACCTACTGAGCCACCCAGGCACCCCTCAGGTTGAGTTCTGATGACCACTTTCTTTTTTCTTTCATTAAGAAGGGAAACTTAAAAGTGGGAAGGATGTGTATGCAGTAGAGGTTTGTGGGTTAGTCCCTATCAATGGGTAAAATTGAGTCGATACACATCTGTAGCACAATAGAGAAAAGCCTTTCCCATAGATCTCATGAATTATGCAAGTAATCCTTTGGGCAACCTGAGACAAAATAGAGGAACAGAACAGCATTTTGGGTGATTGGTTAAACACATGGTGATAATCTACCCAGTATATGGGGGAACTTTAATTTGCCATAAGTTGAGAAAAAAAAAAATCCATGATTGTTTAAATCACACTCTTCTTAATGCTTATTATGCTACTGACAAGGAAAACTTCATCCACAATTAGTTTTCCAAGTATAGTATTTCACATTCACTTCAGAAAAAAAATACTTTCATATTATCCTGCCGTAGGACATTCACACTTTGATATAAGGAAGCAAAGAGTTGACAAATTAGCCATACTCTTCAAAAGATGCTAGTCGGGAGAAAGGGATGTTCAGGGTCTGAACTGTCCAGACTGATGACTCTGCTTCAAGGTTAGGCAAACACTTTTTTCTATAAAGAGTCAGATATTTTAGGCTTTGGCCACAGGTCTCCATGACAACTACTCAACCCTGCCATTTTCGTGCAGAAGCAACATAGATAACACATAAACAAGTGAGTGTGGTTTGTTCTAATAGTCACAAAACCAGGTGGATTTGGTAGATGGGCCACAGTTTGCTCAGAATGCTAAGTGTGGGACATTTTCCTTAGTGACTAAACCTTGAACTTTCACTGAACTTCCCTATGAATGGGCTTGATAGACTTCATATCAAGACTATTCTATCTTCCCAAGAAGTACATGAAATGGATATTTTGTTATCCCTATTTTACAGATAGAAAAATCAACAACTTGGGAGACATTTAGTGAAATGATATATGGCTTGCCCAAGAACCCAGAGTAAGCGATTACAGCATACATTATATCAGAATGCATAGTTCCTGCCACATTTAAGGCTTTTTATCAACAATTTCTGAAATTAGTTTATTCCAGATGGATGCACATATATGAAAGATGCCTTATAACCACCTTCCCTAACACCTTTTATTTTTTTGCCAGTGTAGGAGAAAACTGAACTCACCCCAGATCAACAGAATCTTCTGCATTATATTATGGATTCATACAGCAAACAGAGGATGCCTCAGGAAATAACAAATAAAATTGTATGTACAAATATCTGAAAATACATGGGTTTAAAGTTAATGTTTTCTGGAGCTTTTAGTATTTTGGAGATAGAATTTATATATGAATTTGCTATTTCTAAATGATTACAGCTGAGAATTTAGTTTATATGTTTAAACTTTTAGCAGCATTGAACAAAGAATAAGAGGTCTCATATCTGTCGAGGTGATAGTAATTGTTCTCTGACAATCTGAAAAATATGAGCTGAAATTTAAATTTTATTATCCAAATCTTGTTCTTTAGTCTAATGATTTTGTGTTATTTATCTTTTCATCTACTTATTAATCATTTGATTTTTTTTCTTAAAATTTAGTTGAAAGAAGAATTCAGTGCAGAAGAAAACTTTCTCATTTTAACTGAAATGGCAACTAGTCATGTACAGATTCTCGTAGAATTCACAAAAAAACTGCCAGGTATTTTTATATGTAGATACTTTTTTGTTATACTGTGTAATATTCTTGTGACATTGAGAGAATCAGGTCTGTTTATTGTAAAGTAGAGATTATTTTACATCTGATTTAAATTAATGTGTCTAGCAATTATAGACATGAAATGTTAGAACCAGAGAAGATGTGTGAAATCATTTATAATAATTCTTCTGAATTGATAGACTAAGAAATTGAGACTTTACAGATTTGTCATTCATCCATTTACTCATTTAATAAGCATTTGTTGATACCTATTTCATGCTAAGTACCTAGCTATTACCTTCAAGGGGGGTGACTAAAGAAAGGCTATAAAAAGAAAAATTATATACAAAGCGCTGTTTGAACAGAGAGGAAGTGGTTGCTAATTGTATCTGAGAAAGATAGGGAGACTTCAAAGAAAATAATATTTTAATCGGGTCTAAAAGATAAAGCATTGGGGAGGGTATGGGATATGGTGAGTGCTGTGAAATATATAGGCCGGATGATTCACAGACCTGTACCCCTCAGGCAAATAATATATTATATTTTAATAAAAATAATTAATAAAAAATTTTGAAAAAGATAAAGCAAATTTCTTGGTGGCACAGAAGAGAAGGAAACTTCCAAGTTGAAAAACCTGCTCGTGAAAATATAAAATATAAGGCATAAACAAAAATAGGATTTTTAGAGATGAAAGAGGAAAATTCAATGGGATTACAGCATAATGTGGTGGGTTCCTTGGTTAGACATAATGTAGTTGGTACCAGACTGATAAGGGCCTAACTAAGGAATTTAATCATCATTCCCTGGATTATAGAGAGCTTTTGGTGCCTCTTTGTTGTTATTGTTTGTGTTGACAGGAAAGTTATGGATTTATGTTATATAGATATGACTTGATCAGTTTTATATAAGATGGATTTGAATAGGGAAGGATCAAGGAGGAGGGATCATTTAGGATGCTACTGTATCAGTCAAGGCAAGAGGTCTTGAAATAAAACAACAGCAGTGGGAGACCAAAGAGAAAACAAAATGAAGAGAGATGCAAAAATTGATAGGACTTAATGAACAATTATATTTGTGAAATGAGGGAGACAAACTTATTCATAGTCATATGGATGGTGTCAATACAGAAACTGGAATTCAAGATTCTTATCTCCCAGCTTCCCAGTTCTTCCAGCAACACTACCAATGCTATCTAAGCCAGTACATTTAAGTTGTTTCAGTGTTTTAAAAATATATTAGTACAATAGAATTCCATGATCTAGGAGAGTATAATTAATACCGTGTACAAGAACATAACCTTGTAATATTAAATTACAGAAGGTAACTTCTGATGTAAGATTTTAATTAGGTTAATTTGTCTTCTTTTGCTGACATTATGCAATTATTTTATTAAAGTGTCATGGATAGACATAAGCCTACATAAAACTCATAAAATGTGGGGCGCCTGGGTGGTTCAGTGGGTTAAGCCGCTGCCTTTGGCTCAGGTCATGATCTCAGGGTGCTGGGATTGAGTCCCGCATTGGGTTCTCTGCTCAGCAGAAAGCCTGCTTCCCCCTCTCTCTCTGCCTGCCTCTCTGTCTACTTGTGATCTCTCTCTGTCAAATAAATAAATAAAATCTTTAAAAAAAAAAACCCTCATAAAATGTGAGGAGAAAGTGTTCATTTTCATTTTAACATTAATATTCTCTCATTTCTTTATTAACAATGAAAGAAGGACTTAATTTGTTATATGCTAATTAGGGCAGTCTTGATCAAAAACAAGTGTATACAGGAGTGGAAAATGTGGGAGGAGGAATTGGGGGAAAAGGAAAAATATAATGTTTTTGGTTGTTTGTGAAAAGAGAGTTTTTCAGTTCAAATTGTCTGTTGGTCTTGAACCACAAAATAATTGAAGAAAAAAATCTTCTTCATAGAATGTAGCTTATCTGAAGGCAACAGCAATAACTGACACATCTCTTTATTCCCCATGCTTAGACTAGTTCCTGAGGGGAGGAAAGAGTACAGTTAATGTATGTTTAATGGGTAAAGCAAGGGCACCTGGCTGGCTCAGTCGAGAGAGAGCATGTGACTCTTGATTTGGGGGTTTTGAGTGTGAGCCCCAAATTGGGAGTAGAGATTACTTAAGAATAAACTTTAAAAAAATGAAAAATATTTTAAAACTTTTTAAAAAGGAAAAAAATAAAATACAGAAGGAAATAAAAGACACAAAACTCGTGAGAAAGAAATTTTAGTAATAGTAACAATATGGTTAAAATTAATATTTTAACAAAAATAATGGAAATGGCATTATTATAAATAGTAATAATAGTGCTGTAACTCCAAAAATGAAAGGGTTTTTGTGAAAGAGATAGATGAATTGTTTTATTCTGTAGTTCATTGAGCATAAGCTGTGCCAGGCACTGTCCAGGGTGCTGGAGACCCTGCCGGCTTGGCTCCAGTCCTCAAAGGAGCTTTTAGATTCACTAAGATAGTGATTCTTAATCCTTCACATTACTCTCTTCTCTAAACGTCCACTGTTATTTAATACTTTTCTAAGCCATTTGGACCCTGATGATGTTAGTTTATTTTTATATGTGTTGTGTGTGTGCGTGTGTGTGTGTGTGTGTATACATGTGCATAGGAGCTTGTGTTGTTTTCCCATTTATTCAGTTATCCAATTATTCAACAAATAACTCTTGGCTGTCAGTTATGTGCCAGGCACTGGGAATACAAAAATGAAGAGAACGGCAAAGTCTCTGACCCCAAGAAGTTTATACTCTATTAGATGTGGCAGATAATTAGCAAATATGAATAATTTTATTATGTGAGGTAGTGGTAAACTCTATGAATAGAAAATAAAGCAGGTAGGAACCAGTGAATTCTGGGGAATATTATTTTAGTAGGATTACCTTGAAGCAGAGATCTGCATACAGTAAATATCTGCATACAGTGAGACATGGGGATAGCTGGAGAAGGGCATTTACCCTTGAGGCAAAACAACATATATGTTCATAGCAGAGCCAGGGGTCAGTGAGGGGAAGGAGGAGGAAGAAATGATGTCAGAGAGGTAGCTGGGGACTATGGCATATAAGCCAGGATAAGGACATGTTTCTTCAGGTTATCAACTCATTCCCATATTTCTCTAATTTTTTTCTACCCTGCATGATAGAGTGCTGAGCTCAGAGCAGATATCTTAACATGATCTTGATTGTTTTATTAATTTGTTTTGAAAATTCCCCCGTTCTCCAGATTGACTAATGAGTCAGACAAATAATCCCTTAAATGTCTGGATATATGTGAAGATTTTTTTCTTTTTTAATTTATTTATTTGACAGCGAGAGAGATCATAAGTAGGCAGAGAGGCAGGCAGAGAGAGAGAGGGGGGGGGAAGCAGGCTCCCAGCCAAGCAGAGAGCCCCACATGAGGCTGATGTGGGGCTCGATCCCAGGACCCTGGGATCATGATCTGAGTCAAAGGCAGAGGCTTTAACCCACTGAGCCACCCAGGTGCCCCTGAAGATTTTTTTCTGTTTTGTGGATGCTTCCATTCTGCAGAGTTAACTCTATGACACCAGATGCGACTAATATAATGGCTCAGAGTAGCTGTTTGCTTCTAATTTCTGAGAGTTGCTTCATCTGGATCAGTCTGCTCTGCCATAATATGTATTTTTGGTGTGGATCTGACATCATTTTTTTACCCAATTTATTCAACAAATCCTGCTCAACAAAGATAAAAGTCAACATCTATTTGGGAGAGAACAATAAGCACTTAATGACTCAACCTACCCAACCTTAAAACAATTATAAAAGCACTTTATGGAAATGCTTTATCTATGGGAATGGTAACGATGATGAAATATTGTTATATAGAATTCACAATTCCCTCACACTGATTTGATTATCATCTTCATCCAGGATTTCAGACTTTGGACCATGAAGATCAAATTGCTTTGCTGAAGGGGTCTGCAGTTGAAGCTATGTTCCTGCGTTCAGCTGAGATTTTTAATAAGAAACTTCCAGCTGGACATGCTGACCTATTGGAAGAAAGAATTCGGAAGAGTGGTAAGTGATTTGGCTAATGGTAAAGAGTTTGTTCCTGCAAGTAAGAATTTGTACATCCCACAAGATAGGCTTCTTGCCTGTCTTATGCAAAGTTATGTGCCCATTGTGATTAGTATGGAGAATGGCTCTAAAAAGATATGTGTTAAATAGATGAGGCCTTTAGAGGGTGGTTCAAAAATCCTTGTTGTATTAGCAAAATACTAAAAATACTCTTTGCTCTATATTAAGATTAAAGGTCGAAGAAGAAATTTTTTTAAAGTTCAGAAAATTAGTCTGATAAAAACAGCATACAGGATCTGAGGTTATTCAGTCCAAAAAAGATTCATTTGTTCAAAACCTTCACGTATGAATGACTATGGATCAAACTATTATCTATCTCTATTCAAAGCAAAATAAAAGGAATTATTAATAGCAACATTTGTGCACCATTTACTAGGTTTTAGACACTGTTCTAAATACTTTACATATATGATTTCATCAAATCCTTGCAAAGTCCTCTGAAATAAGTACTATTATTATTCAAATTTAGTAGATAAGGAAAATGACACAGAGTGCCTAATAACTTTTCCATTGACGGACAGGAAGTCTGACTTTAGAAGCCCTGTGTCTAAACCACTATGTTACTCTGCCTCTCAAGAGACAAAATGAAATAATAGTATGAGTTGAACTTATTACAGAGGAATACTGGGACAGAAAGGACTAAGAGATATTGGAATGAATTTCCAGGAATTCTGTGCTATTTATCTTAGAATCTGAGTCTTAAAATAGTCTAACTTTTCATTTACCTGAGAGACTTTATATATGGATTGAAAGGGAATGGATGAATGAGATGAAATGATGGCTCAAGATCCTTTCTTCCCAAAGTATTATCTTTTTATGAATTACTAGAACAAGTTTAAATATTTATAAAATTAGTGTTTTAGAATAGATATTGGAAGGAAAGTTTTTAGGAACTTCTGCTTTTGCAATATAAGGAAAAGAATTGAAAATAATTTTTTAAAAAAGCAGCCATCTCATAATTGTTGTGTTTTCTTCTCTTAAACACTGAAAGCATAATTATCATCATTGTTAGATTTAAAGAATACACATTTTAAAAAGATGCATTCATTATTCATATAAATCCACTAATTTATTAGTTTAACATATATTTAAGGGCAAGACACTGTAGAGGTAGTGAGAGGAATCAGGCATCTTTCTTCTCTTAGGAAGCTTATAGTCTAGTAGGGAGATGTGAACTGTACATTGATAGTTATAATAAAATGTGGAAGAGAAATGAGATGGGGTGACTTCTTGTTGGTAAGGCTCTGGAAAGATTTCATTGGCAAGCTGGACCTTAAATGATATTTTATGTGAATATTCAGAGTGGAGGTACAAGAGAGAAGGACCAGCAGAAGCAAAGGACTGAGGCAGGGAAGTTCAGGTTATACACACAAAGAAGAATGAATATTTGAGTTTGATTAGATTAAAGGTTACATCAAAGGGAAATGGAATTTTTTTAGAAGTCAGAATCAAATGGTTGAGGACCTTGAATGCTAGGCTAAAAGATTTATCCTTCATTTTCTAAGAAACAGGGAGACACTAAAGATTTTTGAGCAGGAGAGGAAAAATGCCAGTCATGCTTTACAAATCTGCCAGCAATGTTAGGATAAGCCAGGATGGGAGATGCCTCTCAGGAGGCAAGAGGTTTCAAGAATGTGCTCCCAGAAGAAATGGAGAGAAGGAAAAGAGTCTGAGAAATACGTTGTCAGAGATTTTCGCCCTTTGAAAGATAGTATATTAGTAAGAAATATGGATTCTGGTTCTGGACAGATTTTATTTTACATTTTCTGGAATGTTGTGTGTGTGTGTGTGTGTGTGTGTGTGTGTGTGTGTTTTCACTCATCTGTGCATCTGTCCAGGCAGCTGGGGTAAGGGAGAAGGGTTGAATCAGGTAACCTCCACAGTACCATCCAGTTCTAATTAGTTCTTAACCAATCAATTTTTCTGATTGCTGGGTTAACCAGTCACTTGCACAGCGACTTAAGTATCTTGATTTTTTTTTTTATTGTGATAAGAACACTTAACATGAGATCTACACTATTAGCAAAAGTTTAAGTGTACAATACAGCATTGTTGCCTATAGGTATAATGTTGTAGAGCAGATATTCATCTCACTTAACTGAAAATTTATGCCCATTGAGTAGGAGGGGGAAATGAGTTACTAATTAGTAGGCACAATAAAGGAGATCTTTCTATTCAACAAATATACATTGAATACTTGATTTGTGCCAAGCACTGCACAATTATTGAGGGTATGGAGGTGAGGAATTATGATCTTTGTCCCCTGGGAGCTTACAAACTAATGGATAAGATGTATAAGTTAAGGATTCCAAAACAATGTGCAGTGTAATAGGGACAATGAGGGATATATATGCAAAATGAAATTGAGGCAGAAAGATGTGCTTGGCTTCCCTGAGTTTACGTGGTGAGTCAGAAAAGGCTTACAAAGTTGACGAGTGAACCATGGAGGATGGTTGTGAACTCATCAAGCCACAGAAGTCTGAGAAGGGTACTCCAACAGCTTTAGCCATTAAATAGTAATACAGAAACTTAAAGTGCAAAAATGTGGAGGTGTGAGAGCATCCATGTGTTGGATCCACAAATACCGTGACATTGCTGAAAAATAGTATTTCTGAAGGTGAAATGTAATAATGCTAGATTTTTAAGGACATTGAACACCACAAAAATAGTTTAGTGTAGTTCTTGTATAATGAGGAGTCTTGTAATGGTCTGAGAAGATAAGACATGACCATAGAAGTACTGTAGAAAGGTCTTTCAAGCAGTAATATGAAGGAACTTTTACAGGGATTGAGACAAGTCTATAAGGAAATCAATGCAATAACTAGGTAAGAAATGGTGAGGATCTTGCAGTTTAAAAACAGGTAAAAAATAGGAAAAAAACTTGCTTGATTAATGTAGGTTTCAGAACTTGTGATTTTGCAAATTTCAGAGAAGTTCAAGAATGAAGTTTTCTAGAATGCAAACTATATAAATACCTATGCGTGCCTCTGGTTCATAAATAGATTACTTTACTCAAACATCAACCACATATTGTGACAATAAAAACCACCAAAACTCACATGCTGCTTCGTATTTTATTATCTATAATGATGCTTCCATTTATTAATATTTATGAATTTGCTTCTCCCAGTGGATTTTCAGAGCATTGCCTCTTCCACACACCACATAAAAACCTGATCTTGCGAGATGACCTTTCAGAATAACTTTTTATTCTTATGCAAATATAACACGTTCTTCTATTGTACATTTAGTTCTAGAGAAACATAGCGTCTCTAAGTTGCCCTGACTGTGCCTACAGAACTCTTTAAAGAATATAATGTGAAATTTAATTTCTTGTTCTTCAAATTCGTACTCTTTTGTTTGCTATTATTAAATCCCAATTACATACACAAAAGTACTGTCTCCTGAGATACATTTACTTAATGAGAGCTATAGTGCTTATTTATATTAATTGAAGCTTTAGAATATTATATCTGACATAACTTGTGGTTGGGTTATTTCTATATAATTCTAGTGCCTCAATTATATTATTTCTAATGTACTATGATGCAAACTAGGTTTTAAAGCTGAAATATTTGTTAAAACTAGAAATAATCATGTGATACCATAAAATATGATAGCACTGAAATTGCTAACATTGAATGAGTTTACATTTTAACATTAAGGAAATTAGCAATAACTTTTCACAGACCATGCAACTTGTTCTGTTAACTTCAAATATAACCTCTGAAACATATTTTTTTGGCTTTTTTTTTATTCCCATAACAGACATAAATGAAATATCCAATTCCTAAGTGTTTATCAGGATGACAGTGTATTAGGATTTTGCAGTGGTTCGCTTTTATACACATCATCTTACATGTATTCTCAATGGCCCCTAAAGGTGGGTTTTACACTCCTGTTTTATAGATGAGGAAACAGGCTTAGAGAAGCTAATTGACCTGCACAATGTCGCATAGCTAATCAGCAGATTGCCAGGAGATGAATGCAGTTGATCCAACTCAAAGCCCGGTGCTCTTTCTATATGTTGCACCTATCACTCACCATGGTCTAATATTTGCTCTACTATCCGCTAGTAGGGAATGCAAAGACCTAGTAAAACACAGTTCCTGCCCTTTGGTTGAGAGGGAACATACAAGGAACAGGTAGCTATTTGAAATTGGCTTTAGGTAAATGATAAAGTGAAGAGAATCAGGGAGGTCAGAGAAATGAGAGATCCTTATCAGCATGATGGAGTTGTAGCTGGTTTATGGTAGCATGGTCAAGTGTACTCTATACCTTGCTTATTTCTCTGCTTTTTAACTACACATAATTTCATTGCCTTAGCTTTGGCTACACATGGAAACAATTCTAAGAACTAACTTTTCTAAAGAAGATGATGTAAGCTGATTGTCAGGTGAGATACTGACTTTGAAGAAAGGGCTGGAAATGTTAAGAACAAATAACAGAATATTTATAAGAAAAGTAAAATGCAGGGCGCCTGGGTGGCTCAGTGGGTTAAGCCGCTGCCTTCGGCTCAGGTCATGATCTCAGGGTCCTGGGATCGAGTCCCGCATCGGGCTCTCTGCTCAACAGGGAGCCTGCTTCCCTTCCTCTCTCTCTGCCTGCCTCTCTGCCTACTTGTGATCTCTGTCAAATAAATAAATAAAATCTTAAAAAAAAAAAAAAAAGAAAAGTAAAATGCATAAATCAAAATTTGGAGCTCTTAACACCACATTTTGCTTTTCAAATTGATTATGTAATTTTGGCATAGACAAATGGGGGTTCAATCTGTAGGAAAAAGGCATTTTCAAAATAAAAGAAAGTATTAAATTAATATAGGAGTCAGCATTTTCATTGGCTCTCAGCTGTATTCAGTACGCCTTTTATACTTGTCCAGTATTGGACAATATGTATTTATTTATGTATCTGTTTCTTCCATTAATCTGTTGACTGCTAGA